ACATTTACTTTATTGGTTTTGAATAATAAATACTTGCACAGTTAAGCTTTACCTATATAGCCTCTTTATACTTAGGTAAGACTTTTGCAGCGAGAAAATTTCAAAATCTCATAGGAAATCAGATATTGTACGCGGACGAAGTCGCAGGCGGCCGCTAGTTACATAATATATGTGTTATGTAATTGTGTGATAGGTATATTTTTTCTTACCTGTCCACTTTTTCCGGTGATTATTAAAAAACTTGTGATATCTCTACTTAATTTTGGTTTTTCAGGAAGAAATATTTGTGATTCCTTTTTGTGGAAAGATATTAGATGCTTCCTTAAGCTTGAAGTGTTTCTGTTTTTCATTTTTATTTCACCCTTTTTATGTTGGCATAATTTACACAAAGCAATTTGAGATGTATGAATTATGTCGAAAAACTCATCAAATTTACATTTAGGTCTTTTAGATTTATAACGTCCAACACTCACTACTCCGACTAAACTATTCGACTCTTCGTCATTCATGTCAAATTGTAAACTTATCACTCCGAGAATAACAAGGATTAGAGTAAAAACAATTAATACATTAGACTCGAAGCAAAGCTCAATTGGGAATGACTGGAATTAAAATAAATACTACTATTTGTAAGTACACGCCGAAAGACCGACAAAGGAAAGTTCGGCATCCTTTGATAAAATTAATGATTCTTCAGAAGAATAATAAAGTAGATGCGTTGCCAGATAAGTATAGTATGCCTACGTAAAAATGAAACGTAAATATGTAAATAAAATTGCGTATATTATGTTCTTCTTGTGATTGAATTAATCTACGTTAATTAAATTAAATTTGCCTTCACTCGTTTGAAATTCAAAATTAAAATATGTTTTATTCAAGTAGGCATTAAAAATACACATTTGCATAGTCATGTAATCACTGTTTTCCCCAATTTTTTCTTTCCCATGTCAGGGGTTCTGATTCTACTGAAAAAAATCATGGAAGAAAGTAAGAAACTCAGTAGTTACTCTTTTCAAAATATTTTTACAATAGTTTTATAATTATGTAAAGCGATAAGTCAAACATAAAATGTCAAATGTATATGTAGATACCAAATCGGTTTAGAAATTTCTAGTTACTCCTGTGTAGTACGAGTGGTCAGTTCCAAGCATTTTTGTCTCACTTAAATTGAAAAGGTGAAAGATCTAACATTTCTTTTGGAATCTTATTATAAAAGCGTATATCGCTACCCAAGAACGCGTTATATACTTTGTGTAACCGGAAAGCAGGTATTGTGATTTTATTTTTATTTCTACTATTAAAACTATTAATTACTGATCAATTTCTTTAAACGGTTCTCTAAGAGATACTCGGGCTCCTAAAAAGTATATAGATCTTATTTTACGCTTTTTATTTAATATGCACACTTTTTATATTATTCGATTAGCATTGTACAAAATGTTTACACGTTTCAAGTGTGTTAAAAGTGTCTACAATATTTATCAAATGGGTGACGACATATTCGACTTTGTGTTCAAAAACACACACTTCCAAAAATCGAGATTTGCAGTGAACTTATTGAACATGTTTTTCTATTAGGTAATAATAATAATAGTAAGTAATTAATATAAACCCATATAGTTAATATTATAATAATTACTTACTAGAATAAATTATTATGGTATCTACCTATCCTTACCATTATCTAATTACAATATTCCTTGCGAGATCAGCATAATGTATTCGTGTCCATTCTGAGCACCCGGAAACTTATTTTATTCTTTGGAACGTGTACTCTGTGGCAGCATTCAAACACTGTCAAATGTAGTGCGTGCGGCGCGGCGGCGACGATTGAATGCGATATCAATAGAAGCCGCCGGCGCGTGTATTACCTTGGTACCTTGTATTTCCGAATCGCTGCAAAATTTCTTTGACAGGTCAGTATTTGACCTTTGATGATGCCGCGCACTATCAAAATGCTGATGGTCAAAACTAGGGATGCACTGTTTTTTCTTTTAATGGATATTTTCATCCGCTCTGTATGTTTATGGTATTGTTCGTAATGCGCATAAGTCCAATTTTCCAATCTTTTTATATATTTTTTGCATCTCATAGAGTCCTAAAGCGTATACCCGAACTCCTATACTCCCTGAAACGATACTCATGCCTAACTACAAGACGCAAGAGTCTCGCAGGCTTAGTCTTGTTCTTGCTCAAATCTTGCACGGTCAGTCTTGGTCTTGGTCTTGCTAAAATTAGGCGGTCTTGTTGTGCTGGTCTTGCACTGCAAGACCAAGACCGATTTTGGGCAACACTAGCTTAAGTGTAACTAATTATTAGTATGTTTTAAGTTTTAATTGCTGTCGGTAATTAAAGTGTCAATGTTAGTAATTCAATCGGCAGTTTTTACAGTCACGAACCCTAAGCTCGTAACAATATGTTGCAAACCGATAACATTCATTGCTATGCGGATGACAACACAATGCATACACCGGCCGTGCCAATATTTTTTGGGAAATCGTTTCTGAGTGCCAGTACAAACTTGTATCTGAAGTTGAGTTTTTGCTGAACAAAGTCTCGGATTGGGGGCGACTAAATCTAGTCCAGTTTAACCCTCAGAGGACACAAGTTTGCGCATTAACCGCTAAAAAGAACCCATTCATTCAATGTATGCAGCGGATGCCAAGTGCACTTATAGTGTCCAAATATATGCGCAACCACAGGTGCACTCACTATTCCCTTATTCTCGTAAACGGTAAATCGACACGATGGTAGAAATATCCGGCGCAGGATTAACGGCTTAACGTACTTACCAAGACACGGGGGTAAGACACCGCCAACTTCCTGACAGTGGGCAGCTGTTGAGAACTTCTTGACAGAAAAACTCAATAACTGATTTTTCGGCCTTACCCGGGTTTCGTATCTGAGACCTCTTTATCAGCAGATGCGTTTACAACCACTAGACTAACGAGACAGTCAAGTTGCAAAATAATTAGGTCACGAGTATGTAGAAGAAATCAAACGGATTATATTTTTTTTGTTTATAACCTCCGCCCACTTCTTAACCGTGTGCCCCTAAGCACCTGCCCAGTTAAGAATTATCCGCCACTGGTCCCCACGGTTTAAGAGCCTCGCTAAACATTTAGACACGATGTAAGAGACCCGACGGACGGACATCTATTATAAGTAAATATTTTTGCTTGGAATTTGTTTTCACACACTCGCATCACGCGGTCCCTTTGTTTTTAATTTCGTGCATAAGAATTATGCCTTATATCGTTAGTCTTAAGTATATTTTTGCTTGATTTTTCCTTTATTTTTGTAATTCGGAATGGCAACGTTTGAACTAGGTATCTTCGCTTTTGCTGGCCTTGGGTCTTTGACCCTTTAGTATTCGTCAGGTGATAAATATATGCATTTACATGATGTTGTTTAATATTAAATCGAAAAAAGAGGCTACTGGGACTAGGATCTTAATTTTTACATTTCTTTTAGTTATGTATGTGAAAAGAACGTTATGTAGGATATGTCTTTTCATTTAATGTGATAACTTCAAATTCACTCTATATATATATATATATATGTAATATATTATGTAGATATGATTGTGATAATTATATATATATATATGTGTGTGTGTGTGTGTGTGTGTGTGTCATATGATCAAAAAAAATGCGACAAGTAGTTTTGACAGTTATCTCCTGATGTTAACATAAAACTACACAAATAATTCTGTAGAGACGATAAAAATCCTAAAGATACTCTATCCGCGACTGCTGGTCTGAATATAGCTATTTAGCGAGGAAATGCAGCCAGCGTTCTTGGCACGATAGCACGGGTAGTAAGGACTATATGATTATTCGAGTTTATACTTTATTTTTTTATTTTTTTTTTATTGTATTTTATTTAATTGTTATGTAGATAAAAGAAATAGTAATGTAGCTTTATCTGCCCTACTGCATTTACTTTAGTTGCCAAGCTTGGACAGCGGGTAGTTAATCGCAGTTTTTTAATATTATTATTGCGTTCTTAGTAGGTAATATTTGCCCATTACGCCGTGTTTTGACTTGTAGACGACATATTCAGGTGGTGGGGGCCCAGTCCCCCGTCACTATCGTCTTGCTCCGTTTAGCATTGTACGCTCGCATTTTTGACTTTGATTTACTTATGCCAATATATGGCGGTTTAATGACTATTAAAAGTCTTTTTATTACTTTCACTGGTTCGGAGAAAAACTTTGTCTAGAGAAGTAGCAGCAAGAAACCCACTTATTTTCAAAATAACAGACATAATATGTTCAAAACAAAAAAATAACGCTTTATAATAAAATTATCGCGGTTGTCAACCTGCATGGTAAATATTGCCCCTAAGAGACTTTGATAGTTTGTAATGATGATGGTGATGACTATGACGACGACGCCGACGACGAAAATGATGATGATGAATGTAATGATGAAGATTATAATCTTTTAATCATTTCACTGCTAATCGAAACAATTTTCGTGCATTGTTCCAAATAAATTTCCTTGGGTTTTATATTGTGTTATGTTTAATTTTAATCCATTTAAATTCCTTCAAGAGCGAGTTGCTGTTCGTTTTAAAATATTTCTCCTTAATTATCATTATAATATCATCAAAACAAGTACAATTACATAACTATTATAATTAGCTTTTGTAGTCGAATACAATTAGAATAAATATAAAATTTTAAAATTGGCAAGAGGCCAGAGTTTAACATTAATCTTAACCACAGTAAGCAACGAAATTGGATAGCAATAAATTATAAATATAAAACAACAGACATGCATATTTATAAAATTTAGATATCAATTGAAAAGCTGCATTTTAGATTAAACATTGACATGTGATAATACCTACAGTTTACTCTCGAATATCTTTTGCAATTGGATTTTTAGTTTCTTGTGGACACTCAAGCGACCAATACATCAGTGGGAGTTGTAATTCAAGTGGTATGATAACTGCGGGAAGTACATACCCAAGGGCATAGCAACAATTCAAATATGGGTGTAATAGCTGAAACTGAAAATGTACGCCCAAGTAAGTTAATTTTAATCATGTATTTTATATCAGTTGGACTTTCATAAAACCAAATTTTATTTGTGTCTTGCGACGAAAGTCAACAGTTTAATGAATGATTTAGTGGTCATAATGGATATTAAAAAATACTGGAAATAGAAGTATATTAAGTGAATGTATGATTTCGAAAATTTCTATAGCTTCATTTAAAAAATCTATCGATTTGTGAATTATCATCCACATCATACGTACTTTGATATTACTATAATGTTCGCAAAAAATAAATAAATAACATATAAAAACGTAAACACTCACGCCTGTCACCTAGAGGGGTAGGCAGAGACTACGGACTTCCATTTGACACGATCCTGACATACCTCTTTCGCCTCCTTTACATCCATATATCTACGCATACATGTTCGTCGGTTAAGGGTACTTCTAACGTGGCCCATTTTCAAAATGTCGCCAATTTGGTCGATAAACTTTTTCCTAGGGCGTCCCTTCCCGACTCGGCCGTTCACATCTGCCATATAAATTTGCTTTGTCACTCTTTCCTCATTCATTCTTTCTACATGACCAAACCACCGAAGCATTCCTTGCTTAATCCTGGTCACAACATCATCTTGCATACCACATTTATCTCTTATCACAAAGCCGAAAAATAGACTCGGCTCCTCGCCGTATGGTAGCGGCGTAAAATCTACCACTACCCCTTGTTCGCACCATGAGTCAGGAAATAAAAGAAATAGCCCCGAGTTCCCGGTGTCCCTTTAATGGGGCAGGGGTGCGAAGAATCTCCGGGAGAAAAACCAGCGACGAGGTTCGCCACCCGTCACGTTCTGTCTCCCGGAGGGACGAAAAGTTGATAGCGGAAACCCGTCTGATAAATAAATAAATATTGCTTAAACACCCTATATTTTTCACCTTTATAACAACATTAATCTATTAAAATATAATATTACTCTGATTACCGGTATACACTGCTTAAACTATTATAATATCAAAGTTTAATTCAAAATTAACTTTAAAAAAAGCAAAGTTTTTTGTATTAAAATTGTTTTAACAAGACCTTACGGTTTGAAGAACTTGTGAGAAGAAACGGCAAGAAACAAACATGTAGACTTATTTCTCTTGACATAATTTTATCTTCTAAAGGCATAAATAAGCCAATAATGTCCATGCATTCCTATTTTTGAAATATCAATGAAATTTGTAATATCCTTTCTACAAAAAAAGTTATATAAAATAAGAGTGACAAACAGGAACACAGCCCACAATTTTGATGGTAAGTGGATGCAGCACATATACATCTACATCTCGATTACGAATCAAAATGCAGATGCGTTGTCACCCCTGAAAACCTGGAACCTGAAATGCCACGTATCTAAAAATGATCTCTCGTTCTCTAGACTCACTTACAAAATACAGAAGGATCAACTTGCTAGTTTACGTCGGTATTCTGTGAGAGCGTGATCCTACTCCAATTGAGGAAACCTATTCGTGATATAATCATAATATAACTGCATCGTGGCTCTACCGCGCAACATTTATATGGATTTTTTTTTTTGGAATTCAATAATATTATAGGGTATCTTCTTATTTACGAAGAATGTACTTTAGTACTGCAAGCTTAGGTTTATTACGCGTGTTGAAATTATGGACCAAACTTGTTTTCATCTAAGATATTAAAATAGGTTTTAACATAAGTATAATATTTTTTATAGAATAAGGTGTTACCCTTAAAGAGCACACAGTCTACCGGATGGTAAGTGGATGCTGTGGCCCATAGGCATCTACATTTATCCTCGATTAAGAATCAAAACACAGGTGCGTTGTCACCCCTGAGGACTAATATGAAATGCCTCGTAACCAGTAACAAAAGTGTCTCCAGATCTCTACACTCACCATACGAAACACAGCAGCATTAAGCTACTATTTTACGCTAGTATTCTGTGAGAGCGTGGTCCTTCCCCGGTCGAGCCGACCCATTCGTGCTACAACCATAATGTAGCTGCAGTGTGGCCACGTATATTCAAAATGAATCGTGATGTAACACTTAAGATATTCATTTCTTTTAAAATGTATCTCAGTAAGTTCTTTGATCCTGTATTGTGGATAGAATAAATAATAATTCTTATCTGTTAAATAAATAAAAAAATTGTTTTCAATATCAGCATCTGACACCAATAACAGTAATCGAAGTGACATGAGCTGTGGAAAAAAGCCGAAATAATCCCACCTTATTGTATAAACATCGGTTAATAACCGTATTTTATACCCGAGTACATAGTTTTACTAGAGTTTTACTCAATATGTGGCTGTAATATTTTTTTTATATAATAATATTAGATTTTTTGATAACGCATCCCTGGCCGTCTTTGTTTTAAATTAGTTAGCCCTCGTGCTATTGGTTATTAATATTTATTATTATGGTCAAATACAATGTAGCCTTTAAACATAGCACCATTAAGCTACTATTTTACGCTGGTATTCTGTGAGAGCGTGGTCCTTCCCCGGTCGAGCCGACCATTTCGTGCTACAACTATACTACTAATATAACTGTAGCATGGCTCTATCACGTATAAAATTAACAGTAAGAGCGTGTTAAAAGTGTGTTAATGTAATTAAAAATTAATCATCAACTAAGAATAATGTGGCTAATTGAAGGGAATGTTAATTGTAAAGAAACAATCGCTCTATCCGAACGCAAAAAAAAATCAAAACAAAATTATTGTTCGGTTTGTAATCTTAAGTTGTAAGTATATTTTTGAGTGTCAAACACAACACTTGACTTTTGTTAATAATATGATGAAGCTAAAAACAAGCAAGAAATCTCCATGATTACCATTGACGTCAAATTACGATCACAATAAAGGAATCGATGTTGGTATGTACTCTGCAATAATTTAAGCGTAACTTATAGCAATCGAATAAATACATTACAAAATTATCGAGTACCGGCTACTAATAATATTATTATGTTATGAATAAAATATTGATAAGTTGAATTTATTAAAACTAATACTTTTTGTTTCACTACAGATGATTATTTTCCAAAAGGTTCCGAAGAATAAGACTTTGTTTTTATTCCTTAGATGTTTATTTTCATAATATCACTTGATCATAAGCTAGATAAAGTGGAAAATTACGTAGATATATGAAATATTTAGAAATAAAAGTTAATACCATTTTAACACTGTGACGTAGTTTAGATCTGCGCCGATAATTTACGATGAACTATTCTTAAAACAGAGCCATTCATAACAACGCCATTTATTGAAAATATAAAAATATGTTTTTCCTTTAGGTGTGAATAAATGTATTTCTATTATTATTATTCTTCATTACGGAGGACAGTTATTGACGATTTGCCTTGATCTCTTCGTTTGAAAGGTGGATTGGCAATTGCAGACCAGTCATATCGCACCTTTCACGCTACTGCTCGTTACAGATCAGTCTTTTACATCTTAAATTCCCATGATGTGTCTGCATGTTATTTTTACCAAAGGTTGTCGTAAAATGCGACTTTACGACAAAAAGTGCCGACTACTGGCACAGTATATAAACAAGAGTGTTTAACTATTCAACAAGGTTACCTTATTTAATTGAGGTGAAAAATTGGACAAGCTTACCTATAATTTAAAGCATTACATTAAACTTATGTGTCGATTGTAGAGAAATGGAGATCTTTTTACTAGAAATGAGGCTTTTAATCTTAGTTATCTTAGGTTGTTAATCGAGAATATATGGGTCTCAGCTACATGCACAGCATCCACTAACCATCTGGTGGACTGCTTGCTCGGTTATACCCTTATTCTATTCAAAAATATCCATTTGCTATCAGAATTTATAAGAAATACAAAAAATAAGCTTAACCCATTTTTTTACAGAAAACCTTGGAGTTCGTCACGCTCAAACATTTCTATGCTTCCTTGCTATGACTCTTGCATACAGCATGCGAGTAAACATAAGTATGGCAATAGTAGATATGACTGATGTAACTAAAGATGACGTAAGTATTAATTCCTTATAAGTCCTTCATGATGATTATCCTTTCTTTATATAAAACTGAAGTGTCCCATGTTGAGTGACTGCAGTCCATGGAAACCTGCCTATAAATTCAAAATTGATTATACATATAATTCATTATCATAAAATTAAATTTATAATATTATAAAATTGATTATAATAATAATGCTCTCCTGACTGAATTTCGGATATGGCGGCCAGCCTCAACGGAGACTAGCCATCAGTGCAAGACAATATTAAAGTGGTCAATTGTTAGCGCAAGCACAGGTGCACTCTGTATTCCCTGAACCTCATAGTCCGATGGGACGGTAAACGACGCGACCTGAGATTCGGCGTAGAACCAACGGCTTTACGTACTTTTTCCTTAAATTCCGCTAATTTTTTAATATAAGCTACTGAGAATTTTTTGACGGAAAAACTCAATACCTAACTGATATTTTTTGCTCGTCCTTGGATTTGAACCCAGGACCTTATGATCAGCAACCGCATTTACAACCACTAGACCAAAGAGACTGTAATATTTATATATTGATTACACATATAATACGTAATCAATTTAAAAATATTATTGTTAACTATTTAAATTTTCGATGAAATTTCTTTATGGAGATGCTAAGATTCTCCTCTGCAGATTCAGTTGCCACCTAAGATGCCAAAGACGTATCGATCTAGCAACATAAAACACACGCAACCTGAGGACTGGCGAAAAGATCCTGGAGCTGGAATAACAGATAGACAAGTTGTGCTGAGATGTTATAGCACTGATCCTAGGTCTCTCGGATGTTTCTCTCTCCGTCTGAGGTCTCGGTCTGAGGTCCGAAAAGAGGGGAAAGACACTGTAATTCTCAAATCTGGCAACTAGTTCTATCACCAGGATGGTGACTATCTTTGCCAGGGAGGTGTAGGATTTATCGTCCACAAGTCTCTCATTAACAAAGTGATAAGGGTTAGTAGTGTGTCAAAGAAGTTTGCGTACCTACCTTATACATAGAATCGCTAAACGGTATGCGTTAAAGATTAACGCACCAACCTTGACACATCCCGATAAGGAGGTGAAGGAAAAATATAGGAGGATATTTTATGCCATGTATTCCTCCAAAATCCACTATACGGTGTTAATGGAAGTTATTTTATAAAAAAAATGGAAGAATTAAACGTAAAACTAGGCACAATAGAGAACAATAAGCTGAAGGTAGGGAAATTGGGGATATGGCAACGAAATCCATGGGACTGAGAATGACGGCCGACTCCATGGAGAACTCTCGTTGAACTCTTTAACGGCCCCACAAGAAGTGATCCTGGTCAAATCACGACGGTTCGACAAAAAATGAAATTGACTTCATTATGATGACTAGACGGCAACTGTTTAGTGGTGTCTCAGTGATTGCGACGGTAAAAACTGGCAGTGGTTACCGAATGGTAAGAGACACTCTGAACCTAAACGTTAAGTTGTAGTGGTCAGTGGTCACGTCTTAAGAAGTCAACACTCCGTCCCCCTCATGCTCTCATTCTAAGCTCTGAAAATTTTCACCTCAGATTAAAAAAATTTTTCCAGTGCCTAGAGTTGTAGTATCTCAGGCGTTCAGCGCTTGCTGTGAATTTTATAGTTTGTGAACCTGGGTTCGATCCCCGCCGGCACCAATAAAATTGTTAATTGCAAATTTTAAGTACTGATTTACCACATAAAAACATGGTTACGAAATCTGCATGTCTGAAAAATAACAAAAAAAATATAAATCTCGAAGACATTTAAAGTTTGCAACACAATTGTTTGTCCAGAAGCCCTCTCAGAAATAATTGGAAACCTGTGCAAAGCAGTGGGCCGTACATAGGCTGTAAATATTAGTGCCTAGAAGACTCCAATCAAATTGACGTTATGACGCTCGTGTAAACTTTCCATGTGATCGGAGCTAAGTTCTACAAGACAAGTCTACCGACCCTTAGAAGATCACAAATACTATCCAATCACACTCTTAATCTCATCGCTAAGAAATGGAAAATTAAACTACAGTCTTCAGCAGATTTGGCATCAAACAGGCAGTTGAATAGATAGATCTTCAAATATATGCAACAGGACTTACGCAACTTTAATGCTCGTACAGCTCATATTGAAGAAGCGATCGAAAGAAACCAGAGCTTTTAAAGTCTTTGCCAGACATCTGTCTGCCAGAAAAAGCCAACTGTCGAAGCTGAAGACCGAATAGCATCGTCTCCGTTACACCTGAGATCTTGAGTGAGATTGGAAGGTTCTATTAGCAGGTACACGATCTAAGAGCAAGTATAAGACTTGCTCTTAGATCGATAAGATTTTGATGATATCTTAGAAGTAAGTCAGAGTGAGTGAGCAAGGTGTCGGTTGAGAACAAAATTACAGCTGATTTTCTTTAACACCGTCTTGCATGGTGGTACCACTTCTGAGACGTGAAGCAGATATGAAGAATTACTGACTGATTTACCTCCTCATTCGCGTCTAAATACAGTTTTCGAGAGTCATAACGAATCGCCTCGTACGCAAACTCGACGACTTCCAGCACCCTGAAAAAAACCGGATTCCGAAAAGGATTTAGCACCATAGATCACATATGTACCCTTCGGATAATTGTACAAAAGACCGTAGAGTATAATCTGCCACTTTGTCTTGCGTATGTGGACTTACTCAAATTTGGGTGACCCTAAAGCCCCTTCAGCGGTGCCAAGTTAACAGTCAGTATATAGAATTGCTGAGTGTTTGTACCGTTGGACTGCGATGACTATCTATCTAAGTACAGAACCAGTGTATAAAATCTACCGAAATTCAAAAACGTGTAAGACAGGATGACGTTATATCCCCAAAACACTTCGTTGCTGCATTATGTTGAGTACATTACTCACCTTCGATTTTCCAACGATAAAATCCTCATAACAGAATTGCTGAAGGACCTAAGCACTTTTCTGAATGACTAAAATAGTGCCTCTCACCAGATAGGTCTCAAGATGAACATGGACAAAAGAAAATAATATATAACGTTCATGTCTTACCAATGCCCAATAACTAAGGGTATTGGTAACCTTGGAGTGCGTAAATTGAGGAGTATGTTTACCTCGGACAAATAGTCCGACTAGGTAGGTCCATTGTAGACGAGAAGTTAATGGACAGATTTAAATGGACTGGGCAGCGTTCAGGAGATTAAGACACATCTTGTTGTCAGGTATAACTCTAAACTTGAATACAAGAATGTACAACCAGTGTGTGTTGCTAGTGATGACTTATGGATCTGAAACGCGGTCTCTCTTTGCTGACCATATGAGGAAGCTCAAGGTTGATCAACAAGCTATTAAGTTTCTTACTTCTTAACTTAGAAATGAGAATATCCGCAGTAGAACCATAGTGACCAAAATAGCCCAACAAGTTAGTAAGCAGAAGTAGCAATGGGCCGGCCATATAGCTCGAAGAACCTACCACCGATGGAGAAGCAAGGTTCCCGAGTGGCAGCCTCGTACCGATAGACAAAGAGTCTTGTGGCCCTCCACTATATTGAGTGATGACCTAGTAAATATTTTGTCAGCGAGATTAAAGACCTATATCTGGCAGATAATGAAACTATGGTCAGTTTTGATGTGCAGTCATTGTTTACATGCTTACCTGTTGAAGACTACATCTCAATTTTAACTAGAAGGCTGGAAGAAAACAACATGCCCGTAGAATATGCAGTATTACTCAGACACTGCCTTACATCTGGCTACCAATTGTGGAAGGAGGAGTTTTACAAGCAAGTAGATGGTGTGGCTATGGGCTCACCTGTATCTCCCATTGTCGCCGACTTATTCATGGAAGACTGAGGAGAAAGCCCTGCTTACTTCTCCCATAAATCCAAGATTCTACAAGCGGTACGTAGATGACACTTTCACAATTCTACCTTTCTACCTTTGTGGAGGCAACAATTCATATTATATGTGAAAGCTTCGGGTGTGCACTCGGAGACATCAGCAGTAAAAGCAAGTTTACTTCTCAATTCTATTGGGTCAGAAGGATTCGACATTTATCAAACTTTAATGTTCACTAAAGAAAATGATTGCGATGATGTGCAAATAATACTGAGTAAATTTGATGAATATTTTGGAACTAAAATTAATCTTACATTGCTTAGATACAAAATTTTTACTCAATCAAGAGGAAGGTGAAAACATACAGCAGTATGTTACGTCATTGCGGTTATTGAGTAAAAATTGTAAGTTTGCAACTTTAGAAGAAGAGCTGATAAAGGATCGAATTGTGTGTGGGTAAATAGTAAAATAATCCGGGGTGGTTGAAATAAATGTGGATATCTATAGGCCACAGCATCCACTTACCAGAAAAAAAATCTCAAAATTCTTGTAAAGTCGAAAACTCATTAACTTGTACATTTTGTATTTACCTCTAAATTTAAGTTATCGAGATATCATTGTATCTTACTTCTTTTCACAGCACTTTGACTGGAGCTACAGCGTGCAATCCACGATTTTATCTTCATTCTTCTGGGGCTATGTCATGCTCATGTTACCATCTGGAGAGCTGGCAAAACGCTTCGGTGGAAAAGTTCTTATTACAATCTCGATTTCGGTTAATTCACTTATGTCGCTGTTGCTGCCTACTGGCGCCTATTTGGTAAGTGATAAAGTTTATCCTGAATACTTAAGTGTTATTTGGAACAATTGCTCCAATTTAATAAACTAATCAAGTGGCACAAGTATATCAGTGAGAGATGAACACATGTTTGTGTCATTTTCTGTAGAGGCTATCGGCCCGTGGGGTCCATGCGAGGGGAAGTACTTAAACGAATTTTATCCGCGAAGTTTCGTCGATGCTGGTAATGATAGGTTGGTTCTTTTCTCACTCAAAAGCTAAGTATAGCCATTCAGCGAGGAATTGGAGCCAGCGTTCTTGGCACTATACCACGGGGAGTAGGCCTGTAAATAGGCCTATATAATAGTTTAAGCTTAAAGTAATTATTAATTTTATTATGATTAAAATAAATATTGTTTCTTAACATTTATTTTATAGGATAGGGTGACAAACGAGCACACAGTCCACCTGATGGTAAGTGTTTGCTGTGGCCCATAGACATCTACATCTATCCTCGACTACGAATCAAAATGCAGATGCATTGTCCGTTGTCCGTGAGGATTAAGATGGAATGCCTTAGACTTCGAGTAAGTAATTTATGGTTGCAAGGCATCTGTATGATACAAAAGTAACTTCTGTCGTGTAAATAAAAGTATGAAAACGAAAATTTTAAGAAAACTAACAAAAATTCCGGGCGCTACTGAGAATATCCTGAGAGAAAAACCTAATAACTATTATTTCGGTCCAACCCGGGATTTGAACCCACAACCCTCGTAATTGGCACTCTTTTTTAAGAACACGACAACGAGACAGTTAACAAAATGAAATTTATTTATACCTTTAAACGAGCAATTCTTGTATATATATATATATATATATATAAGGGCTCTCGGAAACGGCTCCAACGATTTTCATAAAATTTTGTGTCCAGGGAGTTTCGGGGGGCAATGAATCGATCTAGCTAGGATTTATTTTTAGAAAATGTCCTTTTGTCCGTGTTTTCAGGCAATAAAAAACTGCTACAATATAAGAAAGTAAATTTTGACAAATTACCAACGATCGTAATAGCTCAGATGGGATGTTGTTCGGGCGTGATATCGGAGTTCCGTGGTTCGCGTCCCGTCTTGGGTCCGACTTTTTTTCCTTTTTTTTTCAAGTTCCCTTCTTTTGTGATAAAATCTATTATTTCGAGCCCTTTTTTTAGTATTTTTTAAAAATACGAAAATTTTAATTAAACTGCAATTAGTTTAATTAAAATTTTGTGATTTTCATGAATGATGATGATTGAATCATTGAAATTCTCATGATTTTTTATTCAAATAACCAGTTCAGTTTTTACTATCATGTCAATAAGATCAAAAACTATTATTCATGTAATTTGTATATAAATGTAAATTAAAAAAACCGAGCAAAGCTCGGTCATCCGGGTACTATCATATATACAGCAAAATGACATATCAAAAATAAATGTTCGAAGATTAAACAGCAATGAGCCTATAGCACAAATTACAAGATTGCCAATTGATAATATTACGCTATTACAGGGAGGCTGGCAGTTTGTATGCGCTTGTCGCGTTCTTCAGGGAATGACACAAGCTTTCCTTTTCCCATCAATGCATCATCTAGTCAGTCAGTGGATACCCTTAGAAGAAAAAGGTCGCTTGAGTGGTATAATCTATGGTGGTGAGTTTAACTCTTATTAACATACACTGATTTTATTAGCGAGTAAGCGCGTGTTGCGGGCGTGTTTGCTTCTCGCTGGATGAACTGACATTGATGAGACGACAGAGGATGTCCGCAGCTTAACTGCTCACCTGAAAACTCAAAAATTGAGCTTTCATACTTACTCCCTCCAAGAGAAACGTAATCTTCGTGTTGTTGTTTACGGGTCCCCAAAGAGCTCGAAACAAAGCACATTCTAAATAAACTCAAGACTCAAAATCTCCCAATCAGGGAAGTGCATAGAATGTACAACCCAACGGATATCATTAATCTAGACGATGACGGAACTTGGACTACATGCTAGTCTAGTTGCATGGTCCAGTCCACTGGTGACATCCTTAAGACCTATCGTGAAGCGTAAGCTCGAGTAGAATAGTCCTCACAGACGGGAAAATTCCAGACAAAATAGATTCGCCAGAGGAAGCTATTGAGATTACTAGGGCCCTATCAGCCCACCTCAATATAGCAGTCGAAGAATGCTCTCGTAAGGTTCGGATGTCAAGTAATCAATACAAAAAGCTTCCGAGAGATTGTTGGGATTAATTACAGCCGCCAAATTTCACGAACGCACAATGCGAAAAAACTCACGATACCATTCGTTCGTTTTGGGCGCTTGGCGGTCCACTACTCTGAGATTTACTAGGAGTTTTCTTCCCCATATGATTTTCTTGTGGAATCCTTTACCACCGACGATTTTTATTCCGGACTGATTCGACTTAAGGACCTTCAAAAAACGCGTTTACCCCTTTTTAAAGGCGTGCATGTGACCTAAAATTCTCAACCTGGTGTTGCAGTTATTCGTGGGCGGCGGTAGTCACTTACCATCAGATGAATCGCATACTCGCTTGCCCCCCGTTTTATAAAATAAACTATGCTAAACCCACTGCGACCTAATTTTAGCTGGCAAAATATCTATATAGCATTCACTCGGAAAAACGATCATATTAATTTTACGTCTGAAATCAATGAAATGATTTTGAGAAAAACTACAGTAACCGACTTAACTAGAAGAACATATAAATGATGGACAAGAAAAATCTCGAGTGGAAGCTGGTAGGACTTATTAACTAAGTGTAAGGTGGCCCTCCACTAGATAGATGACGAGCTAGTAAAAGCTGCAGGGTAATGGATGCAGGTGACTCAAGTGCTTTGTAACATTTATTCGGAGCCTTTGTTCCTTAGGGGCTTACTTTGAGCTATAAAGATGATGATGATGATTTACATATTCAGTTTATAGTTATGATGATTGGGCTCTGCACACAAAATGTTAATAATAATGTCCGAATTTATTGTCTGAAAAACCAAAACTGATTCAATATGACCCTAGATTTAAACGAGGGACTGTTAACGACCACTGAACCAAAGAGTCAGGCAGATAATATATTCGATTAAAGTATACATATTTATTTACTTTGCAGTAGAGATGTGGACAATTAAAACAATATTTCGAAACTACTTTCTAAAACTTGTAAATATTTTAAAAATAATATTCGGTTAATGGGTATTAATATTCTTTTATTTACTTTTTTCTCTAGGAACTCAACTTGGCGTTGCACTTCAGCTTATTGTGTCAGGATTTTTAGCATCTGCTTGGGGATGGAAATCGATATTTTATACGAACGGTATTCTTGGAGCTTTATGGACGGCTGCATATTTGATATTTGGATCAGCATCACCCGAACAATCGAAACGAATTTCACAAGAAGAATTAAAATATATTCAGACGTCCTTGGGGCGAGTTGGAAAGCAAAAGGTGAGATTTTGTATGCGCTTTGTTATATTATCTAAAATATTTTGGAATATATGTAAAAACTAGCGGTTATTTTTTGTAACTTATTAACAAAATGATCATACTTTTCCTTCCATAAAATATTTAGTTTGTATTTAACATCAAAACTACGGAGAGATTATTGACATGGTCAGTTATGATTGGTAATTTCATGCTTTCCGTGACAGGCGGACATTAACTGTTGACTGTTATTTTTTTTTCTATATAGAAACTTCTGGTAAACCTTTTGATTTGGCGCTCACGATCACTACGCCAACGAGGCAGTTAATAACATAAACATTTTATTGGACAATCTTTTAACTGCTAAGCTCTCAGTGTATTAAAGTACGTAGAATGTACATATTTTTACATATATTTATATATGTTATCGTGTTTCATAACGTATTTTATATTCCCGTCGTTTCGAATATTTACAGCACAGTCATATAGGGCTGAAATGTTTGACGTCTCAATGGCATACTAAACCACAGCTACCTTCAGTTTAAAATTAATGCGTAGAGCGGAGCCTATTGAATGTTGATGAATGAAATGAAACATTAATTAAAAATGCGCTACAAAAAGATGTTGAATTACTTTACATTTTCTATTGATTTTACCATGGAAGTACTTAAAGGAATTATTCGGATTAATTCCAGCCGCCAAATTTTACCAACACACATCGCTAAAATATCCCAATATCATACACACTAATTCGATGGAGGCTTGGCGTCCCACCACTGTAGGTACGGCACTGAAAATTTCGGGAATCAAGGAAGTGACACAACATTACTATTTAAAAATGTATTTATTGCTTTTCGAAGTATTCTCCGCGAAATTTGACACATTTTCCATACGATGCAACCAATCATTGAAGCAACCATTCCATTCGGAAGTTGGGGTCTCCAAAATGGCCGTTTTGTAGGCGTCCACAGCTTCTTCAGGTGATGAAAATCTCTGTCCATGCAATTTATTCTTTAATTTAGGGAAAGTATAGAAATCATTAGGGCTTAGGTCGGGGCTGTACGGCGCATGGTCTAATAATTGTATGTTTTCTTTCTCTAAAAACTATTTTGTTCTGTGTGCGGTGTGAGAATCCGCATTGTCGTGATGGATCTTTACGGAGTTCAGAAATGACCTGTGGCAAACAAATGCTAGCATAACACTCTGCATTAACCGTTCTTTGTCCCTCAAGAGGAATAGTCGTAACATGGCCGGTTTTGGAGACAAACGTGGCCACCATTTTTTTTGCAACAAAACAATTTTTGTTGGCTTTAACTCATTTTCGAACTCCCAAAACTCGTGACTGGTTTTTTTGTTTCGGGTTCGTACGCGTATATCTAGAATTTGTCACCTGATACGATGTTAATATCATATATATGTATACAGCATTTGAGGATCCTGCGTGGAATCTTTCGAGTTCTGACGCATCAAGTAACGCGTCCTCACAGAGCGAATGCGGTATCCATCGGGAAAATTACTTTTTTACACCTAATTGTTCATGAAAGATTATTTGTATTTGTCTGGCAATATCTATAGTTGCCTGAATTTCGCGATATGTCACATGTCAATCTTCCTCAATCAGTTTACGCACAGCATCAACGTTTTCTTTGGTGACTGCAGTTTTTGGACGACCTTGACGGGGATCATCACTGAGCTTGACACATCCACGTTGAAATTCAGCAAACCAGCGATAAATTGTGATTTTGGATCGGGCTTCATCACCAAATGCAGAAATCAACCGGTCAACATATTGTTTTTGTGTTAAACCACTTCGAAAGTCATAATAAATCATCGCTCTCGAATTTTCTCGAGTCAATTCCATTTTCTCAACGACTAAACAAGTTTGACAAAACCTTGTGACTAGACCGAGAATTTATTTTTTAAATAAATTGGTATTCGATTTTTAAAACCAAGTAGTTTTCAATTAAAAAGATTTTAATATGAAAGGAACAGTGGAAATATTCCATTCCCGATACTTTTAGTGCAGCCTAGGTACTAGAAGTTTTCTTATTCGCATGACTTCTTTGTGGAATCGTTTACTGTCGGGGATTTTGATTCTGGAATATGACTTAGGGACCTTCAAAAAATGAATTTACTCTTTTTTTAGACGTCTAGCAACGCACCAGCAATTCCCTGGTGTAACAGTTGTTCATGGGCGGCGGCAATCATATAAAAAAGTGCTGTAAAATACTGGACGTTTTCAGTATTCCAGGAATGTAAAGTAAGTTAATAAAACGTGATAAAATCCTTAAAAGTGTTCGCGTAAACATAAGAAGCTCCCATAAATGCGTCACTTGAAACAACAATTCTTGTGTTTTATACTTGAACTAATTAATTTAATTTTGTATAATTCGTAAAGATGTCTCGCATAACAAGAAGCGCTTGCTTCTATTAGCAAGTGTAATACCAACACCTGAATTATTCATGGAGGGGAGCAGTGAAATAGGTCATTACTGCTTCCTAATGTTGAAGAGATTCCTTATTAGAATTATATTGTACGGAACGTAAAAGGGATTTTTTGATAAAGCAAGATACATTTGTGAAATTCTACATTAGCATTAGTAATTTTTTTCGACGTCGCTATCGTAAGTACCGCGAAGACTAGAATTATTTTTCTAAATTGTTACCGTTTGAGTAAAGAGAATAAAAGTTTTTTTTCGCAAATATATTGGGTTGATTACGGCGATGTATGAAATTGCCAGTTTTTATGGAAATCTGCTAATCAAAGTAATCACCCATGCTAACGATGCGTCTTTACCAACGCAGTGCAGCAGTTAGCAGCAGTTTATTGATGTCCTTCTTAAAGTAATGCCCTGGACAGGAGGCAACAAATTCTTCAAAGGTATTTTGTACTGCCTCTCGCGAATTCAATTTTTCTCGTAAAAATTTGTCCAAATTCTGGAAAAAGGAGCAAGATCGGCCGTTTTTTTGGTGCCTTGGGAGGTTTTTTGGATGTTTGGGTGGGGTGGGGTGTTTTGTGTTGTTTAAAATTTTTTTTTTTTGTTTTGTGTGGGGACCCTTTTTTGTGGATGTTTTTTTTTGTTTTTTTGCCTGTGGGGGTTTCCGCTGTATTAATGGTTTTTTTTTTTTTTAATTTTTGTTTATTCAATATGTGTGCTTGTCACTGAATTCTTAATAAACGTCGCTTTTGTGTGTTTGGCACACAAAAACGCTCTGTGTGGTTTAGATTGTCAATTTAATACGGTAGGTGACGCTATTGTCTTGGTCCATAAATAACCCGTGTGAATAAGGGGTGGATAGCTAGTACTCAATAAAAAATAAAAATAAAATACCTCTTTTTGCTTCTTAATAAGTAGCCATTTTGTTAGGAATCACAGGCAGCGTTATTGAAACTTAGCAGATTATTTTTTGTTTTTTAATATTTATAATATTGTTCATATTAAATAAGAATGTGAAATATGTTAAAATTTCAGAAACACCCCACGCCATGGATGAAGATCATCACGTGTTTTCCATTTTGGGCGACAGTGGTAGCTCACTGTGGACAAAATTGGGGCTTCTTTACGTTGATGACGGAGATGCCAACGTACATGGCTAAAGTTTTGGGCGTGGATTTAAAACGAGTAAATTATTTTATGTATCTAATTATATAAGGGAAAATTTTATGAAAGCAACACGGCACCTTTAACTTCCCGCTAAGAAAATCAAAGCGGAAATTACCGATTTTTTAAAATTTATTTCTCATGGGATCTCGTTGTTTCGAGGTCATAGAAAGCTATTCTGGATATTTTTGCGATAATGTCCATGTGTCCGTAATTCCACTTATTATGACGTCATAATAACTGGAATTAGGAGCGCTTTGATATTGAAACTAGCGGGAAGTTCTAGGGATGGCCAGCAACTATTTTTTTTAATAAAAGAAGTGCAGACAAACGAGCATGCGGCTCACCTGATGGAATGTGTCGACCAAATAAATAATCACAACACCAAAAGAATCGCAGGTGCGTTTCCGGCCTTTTAAAAGGGAATAAGTTCGTTTCTTGAAGGTGCCTAAGTCGTATCGGTCCGGAAACATTACCCATGGTAAACGTTTCCACGCAGAGGTTGCACGAGGAAAAAAAGTCCTAGAAAATCATATTATAAAATCTATAAAATAAAAGTAATGTAAAGTAAAGTTACAGCCTATATACGCCCCACTGCTGGGCACAGGCCTCCCCTCATTTCTGAGAGGGTTTTAGGGCAAGGAAGTGTCCGCCGTGCTTCCCCAATGCGTGTTGGCGAACTTTACATGTCTTCGAAATATTTTTTTCTTATTCCTCAGACATACAGGTTTCCTCACGATGTCTTCCTTCACCGCCGAGTCCGTGGTAAATCAGCACATAAAAATAAATCTAAAGAATAAAGATATATAATATAATAATAGTTTGAAAGATCTTTTATATTGTTCATTACTAATACGATTTAAAATAAAATATTGCTACATAATCATCTCAAGCCGTTTCTTGTAACTTGTTGAGCGTAGTTCAACTTTATATATCATAGGATTGTATCTCTCTCTGACGCTGTGACTGTTTTTACCTGTATTTGCAATGTACCCCCAACTTCTGTCTTTCTCCAGATATTGTATAACTTATAATTTTTTATGTTCTCATGATAAGTGAATTTTTGTATTCTTAATGAGAATAAAGTTCTTAAACCATATAAAAATTAATAAGCTAAGATCCGCGTAATAAGATAATATGTGTGTTACCTAGTGTGAAGAGCACTTCCTCAATTGCGTGCACAATGACGGACAAAGCACTATGCTCGTCACCACTGATCCCAGCGTCACTGGACCAAACACTACAACACTAGAAAATACACAACACCGTCGATAATACGACATGTGTTTCGTATGAAGATGCTTCGCATCAGATGAAATAGACTCTGCGGTGGCTGACCGCTGAGATAATATTTTAAGGATATTTAAAGACAGCGCATCGAATTCTTTCTGTTCCACAAACCTTTCAGATGATTATGATGATGACTGGGAATAAACATCTATTCCCAGTCATCATCATCATCATTACTGTCTATCAAATTCACTACTGTACTTTCCAAGCTGATATTTATGTACATATATTATTAATTTATAATAGTTTGAGTAAATATCGGAATCAACGAGCTTTTTTTGTTACAGAATGGTGTTTTTTCTTCTCTTCCGTACTTATCAATGTACCTGCTGAGTTACCCATTCGGTGCAACGACAGACCTCATTATCAGGCGTAAATGGCTCAGCGTTACTAATACGAGAAAGTTATTTAACTCTATAGGTATTTGTTAATTATTATGTTATCCGTACATAAATCCGTTACAGCATATAAAAGTTCATTTCTTACATAGGGATTTTGCCATAGTTGCTACGTTTGGCGATCGGGTTGGCAAGCACGGCTTGTAAAGATGTTGGTGCCCATCTCCTGTTTCATTTACCCTCTGTCGCCTCTTACGACACCCGCGGTACCATAAAGGGTAGTAGACATTCTTACACAGCCACTACAAATCTCAGTCAAATAGTTTTAAAGTTAAATAATTAAAAAGTAATTTTTTACTTTTAGGTCATTGGGGCCCTGCTCTGGCCTTAATCGGATTATCTTACGCGCCAGAAGGTAACATGGTTTTTGCGGTAGCAATGTTAACAGTCACCGTTGGCATTAACGCTGGTCACTTTTCTGGATATATGGTAAGTGTTCTATCTCCGTTAAGTATTTACGTCAGGTCGAGGTTGGAAAATATGATATGATATTCTTAGTTTATTTTATTATTTAACGTAAAGTTTTGTCTCTAGTCACATAATGTGAAAGTTAATGTCAAATTTTATTACAATACTCTTTATCGTAGCAAGGAAGGAAAGATTTATATAAAAAATAAACAAGAATTGATAGAAGAAGAGAACAAAAAGGCGGCCTTATTGTTATATTGCAGACAATTCAGAAAAAGTTTTAAATAAAAATAAGAATAAGATTAACGGGTAGGTTGCTCTATAATAACTAAGGATACCAACTTGTGCATTATAAAGGCAACAATATATCTCACATAAATCTCTTAAATATAATAGATAAACATAGTGAAAAATAGCTTTGAAGTTATATACTTGTTGATTTTTTACCGTCTGGAAAAAATAGGCTGAATCGGAATAAAAGCCTATGGCACTGATATTTTTTTTAATTTTACATTATATAACATATTATGAAATTGATCTTTCAATAAACACTACTAATTGAGTACGTTTTTTTTTAATTTTTGATGTTTTTTATTTGATTTATTTATTTATTTCAAAAATATTGTTATTTTTTAGTACCGAAAGTTTATTCCAATTAAAAAGTCAATAACATAATATATGTTAATGTAAAATAAAATAAAAAATTGTAAAATATCAGTACTTTTTTCCAGACGGTAAAAAATCATCCAGTATAAGACCACAGATAAGTATTAGGACGTACCTACACTACTAGAATAGCCACCTCAAATAAATTCCGTGCGGCAATGCGGGGCGGGGGGTTGTAAGTGATAAGAAACATATTTTATTGATTAGGACTTAAGAGTAAATTTTCTATATCTTATTCAATTTTTTTTTCAATAACGAAATTTCGTTTATTAACGTTTTATTCTACACTATTATTTGTTTTTATAAATATTAACTTGATATAACCTTTAAGTAGTGATGTGGTTTGGATGACTCATAAATGGTGATGTGACATTTTAGAGACGTCTACGCAATTTATGTCTATAGTATGAACTTAATTATTAATTACACATTTTTTGTATAAAATCAAAATAAAAACCCTCTTTTTAATGATATAGGCTAAAATTAAACCCAATTTAAGCATTAATCAACATTTATTAGGACATTTGGCAAAAGTTACGAAAAAATCACATTCTATAAAAGACGCACTTCTTAAGTGTTATGAAATAAACAAACAGACTTATTTTTTAACAAAAAATAAAATTTCTTACTTCTTCAACTTAATTACTAAAATAATACCACAGAATCAGTCTTCTAAATTCAGTCTCAGTCAGTACAGTCGCTGCAGATTGTTTTGGAACAGCCTAAGCGTATAGGCTTATGACATGCAACGCATTTGTACCTTGTGAGTCGCTTTGGCCTTGCTGGACACACCTTACAAGTCTTTTTGTCATTTTCACCAATAGCTGACTCAATGCGGCTAGGTTCTGGTGGTAAATCTTCGCTAAGAATCCGTTTCATTGTCAGTCTTATATTCAAGTTTTTTGTCAGTAATATCGTCATCCATAAAATGTCTCCACAAGGTTTCTAGGTTGGTGAATGCTCTAGACTGTGATCTAGGTGTGTCAACCAAGTTGTGGCTTAGTGAACGACAGTTACGCATCACTGGTTCATCGCTTCACCATTTAAAACCATTCTTACCTATGTAGTATCTTTGGGATTATGTGTGTATATTATCTTGTATTGAAGATATACCTGAATTTTGCATCGCAACTGAACTGCGGGGTGATCTTTGTCGTTGTGATTGAGTTTCTTCATCCTCAGAATGTTCTGAAGCCCAGTCATGATCACTGTGCAAACAGAAATCTGGATCCACTTCTTCATCGTCCACAACACTGAAGTCTCGCTCCAACTCAGCCTCTATCCACTAACTTAAGGTCTTTTCATTTGTCGAAGTATTTAGAGCTACTCGTTTTCGCTTCCGACTGTTTCCTGAAGGTCCAGGTTGATCCATCTAAAATAAAAACGTACACAGTGAGGTGACGAATAAGAGACACTTAGAAAAAATACACTAATACTGTAGTGACGTCCAATAAATCATTTACGTAAATACTGACCTCACGTCTTAGGGACACCAAACGGCCGTACTGGTACAGGTGTTGCTGCCACGAGCGCGAGCACTCGACTGACCGATCACGCCACCGAAACCCGAAGGTAGCGGGAGGGACGGGAGCGTCTTTAAAAAATTTACGCCACTAGACTGATTTTTGCATCGAGGCCGTCTGTGAGACACCCACGTCACTACTTAAAGGTTAAATACTAAAGATGAAATTAGCCACCTCCCTTTATTTAACTAGATGACTCATTTTTGTTAAATAACTTAACTTTTATTTAATTAGTGTAATTATTTTTAAAGCTTTTTTTTTTAATTTTTGATTACGTACTTTTAAAAGAAGCTTACGTAACTAATGAATATCACGTCGACCCAGTGTCATTTAATGAAAGCCATTTTAGAAAAATAATTCGTAGCAGGCTCCCACGACACTGGAATACCTGCTGCGTTCACCGCATAATTATACACTCCAGCTTAGTTGGTGTGATAAGACCATAGATTATAATATTAGATAAATAAGGCTAATTTACTTCAATTTTATTATCTAATGTTATATCATATTACAATTTGTTCCACATTTAGCGTTTTAAAAATTTCATCTTTTACATTTCAGTTAACACTAATTGATCTCGCACCAAACTTCAGTTCATCGTTGATGGCTATCTCGAATTTCTTTTCCAATATCACATCTTTAATTGCACCGTTGGTTTGCGGTATTATTATACAGGATGAGGTAATGTAAACAAATTTTTAGTTTTCATCTATTTCACCGAAATACTATTTGAACACAACTATTGATATTCTAAACGTTGAATGTTCTGACTTTTAAAACATGTGGAACTGGGTTTATGCTTCAACATGTAGCCAAATTTGCCTGTGACCCTTCAGTAAGTGGTCTAGCACAGTAGTACAGCAACACGCGCTAGTAACATATTATTTGTCATATATCCTACGATATCATCATCTGACAAAATATTCTTCCGCCACAATAATAATTTGTCCAAAAGTATTTATTTCAACAGAATAATTTCTTGTCTATTGTTTATTGAAATAAATAATTTTCATGTATAATGTCATCGGCAGATTGTATGATTCGTCATTATAGAAATGACGTCATCTATTTGCATAAGCTCGCTGTCATGTGAAATGCCGAAGGCATTAATCGCCCAATCGTAAAAATGGGCAGATTATAATTTACCTGGGTATTTCATGATATGTCGCCATTTCGTGATTTAGCCAATGATCTGAACGCAATAATACTTTGTGCTTAATTTTGCCATATTTGCCACAAATGGTAGGCGTGATGGCAACTGCAGTGTTTTTATAATTTTCAGTTGATATCAGGAAGACGTTACTGCCTATTTCGTGTTTCCGTTTTCCTTTGTTGCCTCTTAAAACAACCACGAGATGATAAAAAGTTGTGGAGATTTTTGAACTGCCACTTAACAGCCGCAATTTTTTGTAAAAAAATCTCTAAAATATTAATTAAATTATGATTAAACATTACATTTTTATTTATATAAATTTTTATAGGTTTAGCGTTAAAAGTTTTAAGTTTATTCAAATATCTGAAAAAATAAAATTCGTTAGCTTTGATGCCGAACAAGCACGACTTCTGGTCAATGGTCGTCGAGGACTCAATTATAACGCCTCGTTATTAGTGCAAAGGGTCGTTGTTACTCTACACTTACCATGTAAAATACAGCAGCATTGTATTGCTAATTTACGTGTGCTATTCTATAAAAGCGTGGTTCTTTTTAGTTAAAAGGGGGTAAATGAGCAAGCGGCTCACTTGATGATAAAGTATCCCTCCCAAGTCGAGCCGACTTATTCGTTCTACAACCATAATAGCATGGTTCAAACCACGTTAACCCTTTCACAGCATTCGTATCAAGCGGCGCCTTAAAATGCTCCGCTGTGAAAGGGTTAAACTGCATACGTTCTGAAGACTACAAAATAATACGTAGCTGATATATCTTCAACTGGCTGTTATAGGATAACATTTTAAAATAATTTACTACGATTTTAACTGACGTGCATATTTCAGACCGATCCAATGGAGTGGCGAAAAGTTTTCTTCTTAGCCTCAGCTATATACTTCTGCACCAATTTATGTTACATTCTGTTTACTACGTCAAATCAACAACCATGGAATAAACCAGAAGAAAACGACTCTGGTTAGTATAATATCTCAATTTAAAAAGATATTTTTATTTATTTATTCTTAATTGTTACACCTTATAACTAAGGTAACAATGGGCGGACTTAATGCCTCTCGTCATTCTCTGCCAGTCAACCCGCAGCGTGGTGAGCTATTATGGCAGGTGTAAAAGTTACAGCCTATATACGTCCCACTGCTGGGCTCAGGCCTCCCCTCATTTCTGAGAGGGTTTTTAGGGCAAGGAAGTGTCCGCCGCGCTGCCCAAATGCGTGTTGACGAACTTCACATGTCTTCGAAATATTTTTTTTTCTTTTTCCTCAGACATGCAGGTTTCCTCACGATGTTTTCCTTCACCGCCGAGCACGTGGTAAATCAGCACTTAAAATTGCAATTAACAATTTCATTGGTGCCGGCGGTGATCGAACCCGGGTTACTCGCGTTCTGTTATATTTACAGCGAGCGTTAACCACTGAGCTACCACGGCTCTGTTAGTGTAACGGTCATGGCAGGTGTAAACTAGTTTTAATATCTTTGGAAAAAATTATTTAAGTAACAAAGTATGTCGATTCAAACTATGTAAATATAAATACAAATATAACAACCTCACGTATATATACTTGTAATATATACAAATATATAGAGCAATATACATTAATATATACACATATACCTAAGAAATAATATATATATATATATATATATATATATATATATATATATATATATATATATATAATTATACAACTTACATATCAAAAAAAATTATTATCATGAAACTATATCTTGTTTCAAGAAGTGTTCACGGAGTAATTTTTTGAACAAGCACTTGCTTGGAGCTTTTCGTATGTCTTCGGGAAAGGAATACCAGAGTAGGGTAGCCTGAATAGTAAAGGGTCCCCGGAAGAATCCAGAGAAATGAGTTGAAACACTAATTTTATGATTCGACGAGGACCGTAGAACTCTATCATGCGTTGAAAAAAGAAATTAAAATTTTTCCTTAAGATATAAAGGAGAAGCTGGATTGTTTAATATAGAAAAGAGAACAAACAGAATTCTGGAGTTGCGTCTCTGTTTGACTGTGGGCCATTTTAGGCGATTACGATAAAGAGAAACATGGTCATACTTCCCAAGCCCGTATTATACGTATCTAATGCAATTATTAAGGAAACGCTCTAGCTTATTAATAAGATATTGGTATACCAAGATAGTATAATATAAGACATGTTAATGTCTTTATAATATCATCATTCCGTTATAGACCACTGCCAGGCATGGGCCTCTAGCCTCTATGGTTATCACGCCTCGCAGTCGGATTGACAACATAGTACCAGACGTTTTCTATCATTGACGTCGCTACTCGACGCCCGTCTTTGCATGTTATGTCTGATTGCCTCGGTGGTATAGTGTTTGTAATTGTGATGCTAATCATGTGGTCTCGGAATCAAAATCCGGTTCAGGTCAAAATTCGGTAAGGTGAAAGTTACAGCTTATATACTTACCACTCTTGGAAACAGGCCTCCCTTCATTTCTGAAAGGATAAAGAAGTGTCCAGCGCGCTACCCCAAACTTAGCGTACTCACATGTCCCCGAAATATTTTTTTTCATTTCTAAGACATTCAGGTTTCCTTAAGATGTTTTACTTCCCCGCCAAGCAAGTGGTAAATCTGGTGGGAATCAACTTCACGTTGACAGGTTTAATTACACATTTAACCCTGGATGTTCTTTTTTAGTGAAAAAATGTAGTAGTAACAGCTCGGAGTCAAGAATTTGACGGCGTTTAATCGTCGTTCCTCGGAAAGCACGTAAAGCCGTGGGTCCTGTATCATATATTTTTTTAGTTGAGTTGACTTACCATCCCATCGGATTATGAGAGTGATGGGATAGAAAGGGCAACTGTGCTGACGCATCCAATCATATCCTATGATCTTGTCAAGACTGGCTGCCCTAACCGAAATTCGGTCAGGAGATTATTATATGACGTCTGGCGTAAAGATGGTTATATCGCCATCAGGAACAGAAACTTTTTATTTAATATAGATTATAAATAATATTTATTAAAATGTAACTCGTTTGTTTAATTACACTTGGTTCGGAATAAATCATCGAAAGAATCATCGAGTCTGGGTGTGAACCTATCACAAAGTATGGTAGTGTTTTAAAGGGCTAAGCTCATCAGGGGATTGATGATCTTGATATTAGACGTCTCACACTTTTTATGCTGTTTCCTGTCACTAGCCTAAGTATTTAACGTCTGACCTAAAGAGATGGCTTAACTGCCTTCTGTCTGAACTGAAACCGTAAGAAATTTCTGTCATATCCCATGGACATATGCTATACTCAATGTCAATGTAAGCTAATATATTACATATCTCTATTTCAGAAAGTATGACGGAAAAACCAGCATCTAGTCTTACATAAATTATAAGACTATTATGTTATACAAAAATTTTAATTTTAGAATACTTGGAAAGGTTTTTTGTACCTGAAAATATTTATGTGATTTGTCGACGCTACGTCAGAATATCCACTGTTGAATGTTAGTTTAATAAATATTTACCTTTTACGTTGTTTTATTTATTTATCTAATGCTTATTGTTACAATTTTTGACGTGGTAGAGTCTTGCTGCAACTATATTATAATTGTAGCATTCGTATTCTCAAAACGACTCGACTATGGAATGTTCACGCTTTCACAGAATACCAGCGTAAAATAGCAGCTTAACGCTGCTGTATTTTGTATGGTGAGTAGAAAAGTCTTTTTATTGGGTACGAAGTGTTCCATCTTATTACTCAGGGATGACAACGCATCTGATTTAGGATAAACGTAGATGTCTATGGGAGTATTTACTTACAGGTCAGGTGGACTGTGTGCTTATATGTCAACCTTATTCTTAAAAAAAAGTAACCAAGATAACAACCGACAGGCCATTAGTAAAATCGGGCTATGTGCCTGTCAACGCCCATACAAGCCGTTTTACTACGACTTTTAATAAAACTGCAGAGACTGCACCCAACTTCAATAAAGAAGGCTACACGTGCGTTATCATCTCTGAGTATTGAGACGGAATCTTTCACAGTCTGTAGTTATAATGGCTCTCTATACCATTCGGACTTAAATACATCAGTTCAGGCATCTATTTAGCGACAGAAATAAAGTTATTGTGGTAAATAGTAAGTGCGGCTTGTCACTTTCAAGGTGGTAATGGACTGCATTGAGATTACATTGCAGGCCTCGAATGTTTGTGAGGTGCACTTTCATGGAGAGGGATTGCAACCGTACAAACTTACTCTTGTTTTTTTCATTATTGCTGGAATGAATAAGTTGAGAAAATGGCAGTTGGAAGAGGCGTCACACATATAACCTAGGGACGCAAACAGAATCACAGCATCAATGGTATCTATCATGAAGATTTTGGGGACGACTGAACCTCTTTATATTTAGTTTCTCTTGGAAATCACCACCAGGTCCCCTCCTCCGGTTGCTCAAAGGCATGATGGAGCTAACCCACGATTTTTTGTAATATGGCAGGGCTTTCATGATTGGTTGGCTCATAAATTGAGCCCCCAACTATCTACGGTCGGCCAGCGGTGCAACCGTGCTTCGGATCCCGCTATCCTCCATAACCAGGCACCTGACATCAAAAAACGGCCACGTCACAACCGGTTATTATGCGCAAAGCAACTGTCCAGACCCATTCTCTCTATGAAATGGGTAACACCTAACATCATATCCGAACACGACTTGTATCATTTAGCGGTATGTCTTTGCCAGGTGGGTGGTAACTACCCCTCGGCTGGGTCTCGCACTAGTAGAGGACTAACCTACTACCAGTATGTACTTAGTGCTGCTCGTTTAGCACTACCCACGGGATACGTGTAGGGAGTCAGGATTCAAGTAATTCCTACGGACGCGAGCAGCTTCATCCCCCAAAACTACTGGACACGAAAACAGTAAAATACATTTTTTTATAAATTTAGAATTATAAAAGAGCACATAGTCCATAGATGACATCGCATAAAATAATTTTATTTTACGCGAAATCGCAAAATTGAAAACCAGATGAGGTTTATAAATTTACAATAACTGACCGACAGAATCGAATGCACACTCATTATAACTGAATTCAAAAGACTTCTCAAATTAAGTGTATATTTTTGTGTAATATGTTACGAAACCGTTACAGTTACAGCCTATTGAAGCCCACTGTCGAACATGGGCCTCTCCCATAGGTTGCCTCCCATAGCAAGCGGATTGGCAACTACAGTTACTCTTTTAAGTTGTTATAAAGAAGATTTCTGTCTATCACCTTTTCGTTTCTCACTGCCGCCTCTTACGTGACCCCAAATTGTCTTAAAAGAAATAAAGTCCAATTTAGAAAGAATAAAATAAGTTCACATTCAGAAGTCGCAAACATTGATTATTCTAGCCACTATAGTGCAGCATTCAGAATGTGAAATTATCTTATTTTTTTAGTAATTTGAAGATTTTATTTCTAAGATTTTTTTTTGTTTTTCTACATGACTTTAATACTTTCCTTCTTGAATAGGTTAAGTTTATTTAGTACTTTAGCTATATCAGAATCACGTTTTCCGTTTTCGAAATATTGATGACATCAACATAATGTTTAATTTCGAGCATATTGAAGTTCAATATTTCTGGCCTCGGTAGCTCCCTAAAGTTACCAGGGCCTATACATTGAGTAGTTCGCGGGCAATTTGAATATTGATTAAATATATGAGCATTGATCATATGAGTCGTTCTAGCTCAGATGGTTAACACTCGCTGTCAACATAACAGAACGCGAGTCACCCGGGTTCCAATGAAATTGTTAATTGCAATTTTAAGTGCTGATTTACCACGTGCTTGACGGTGAAGGAAAACATCGTGAGGAAACCTACATGTGTGAGAAATAAGAAAAAAATTTTCGAACGGCGAACTTATAAAATATTTATAAGTTCGCCAACATGCATTGGGGCAGCGCGTCAGACACTTTTATTATTATTATTAAGCCTTTTTATTA